AATTAATCGTGATTAATTTTTTTGCCAATATTGCCCAACCCTAATTTACGGAGCTCATTTACACACTTTTCCTGAAGATAGAAGAGTTTGTTGAATCTGACGTGACATGTTCGTACGAACCCTTTGTACGAACAAAAGTAAGAGAAATTTAGGAGAAGAATACGAACATGTTCCTGCATGAGGCCCACTGTCCTTTAACACCGCTAGGTGGAACCAGTATGCCCAGAAAGCTCAAAGTGATTCTCTGTGGATTCTGGGAGTTCTGCTGGTTCGTGGTGTTGTTCTTTAGTTGTTGAAGCTGAAGGCAGGTAAAGGAACATTCTGCTCAAAGATAGCTCTTAAAGTGCCTGTGACATGTTTTTTTTCCCTCAATTACAGAAAATTAAAGACAATATCCTAATATTTTAGAAATTTGGCATCATTCATATGATTTTTACTCTGTTTTTCACAAAACATGCATTTTTTTTTGCCAGATTTGGTGCAGTCAAGTGAAACAGGAAGTGATGTAAAAGGGGAAGTCTTTAGAAAAAGGATAACTTCCTGCTCTTTATAAATCTGACTCTTCTTTATCTGATAATGACTGAAAATAATCTACAGAAACATCTGATTATTTGCAGTCTGTTGTTAGCTGTTGTAAAAAGTGATTCAGGCGTTCCCTTTTGACATCACTTCCTGTTTCTGTTCACGCAAATTTTTCAACAACTGCTCATTTCAGTGTCAYGAATTTCTGTTTGCAATTCATCATTAATGTTATCTTGCCAAATATGCCCTCAAATATATGACTTAAGTTTAATGTCACAGACACTTTAAAAGAGCTTTTATGGTTTTAATGCTGCTCCTTCTGATTGTGTTTGGATGCACTGTCGTGGTCTGCTTCAGAGTTGTTGGTTGTAGTGATGGGACGTTCGCGAACGATCCGAATCTTTTGAACGGCTCTTTACAACGAACGGTAGGAGCCGAATCACGGGCAGTAAGTAACGAGCCATTTGTAGTTTTATTTCTTTTATTCCTCATATAAAATTTGTTTATTTATACTTAGACCACTCTCGCTTTGCTATTTTACGGAAAACAGGCAGAGCTGTGGAGTACAGAAGATCACGATGAAAGGGGGAGGGGGGGTTCTGCTTCACAAACACATGGTTCCACCCACATGATGGGATGACGTCATTACATACGGCTATGTGATGACATATTTCCCTACGTGATGATGTAACATGTTCAAAATCATACGGCTCTTTTGAATGGCTCTATGAA